CCCTTTGGCCTTAGTCTTATTGCATTTCAACGGCCCTCCTGACCTCATGCTATGTTCTATGTGCCCCTGTTCTCGCTCGTTTGCTTGCCGTCGCTAGTTCTTTCCTCCTGTGGTTCTCACCCCAGGGCATCATTCCCTCCTACGGCCTAATCCTTTGTCTTTTCTCTCTTCCGCCTCGTCACTCCACATTTCTTTGTTGTGCACAGTTTGTCCATATTCAGTCTCTCGAGTGATGGGAAGTTATTCGGGACTCACCAGTTCCGACACATTCCGCGATGTCCTCATCGCGCACCAATCTCTTGTTAGTGGGTTTTGGAGGGATAAATGAGAGTGGAGGAGAAAATGTTACCGATAGTTAGTTTATCAGGGTCCATTTTGTCTTTTCTTGCTTATTTCTCGATTTTCTTCTAGTTTCCGGCCTTGGAACGGGGAGGGGTGTATAGGGTCAAGTTTTCTTTGTCCTTTAGGCTTCTCACGTCTCATTCATCACCCGTAGTACATCAAAACCCCATTTGTCTCATTCAACAATCTTAAAACATAAAAAAAAACCCTTTCGTCTCATTCATCACTTTTAAAACATCAAAAAAACCCTTTCGTCTCATTCATCACTCTTAAAACATCAAAAACCCCTTTCATCTCGTTCATCATCCTAAGAGCATCAAAAAACCCTTTTCGTCTCGTTCATCACTCTCAGAGCATCAATCCTCCTTTCTTCTCGTTCCGCACCCTCATAACATCAAAAACCCTCTTTTCAGTTTTTCCTCCTTTTCGCTGCTCCCGCTTCTCCCTCGAGCCTTGCCATTCCAAGCACCCTTTGGTTGATCCTCCTCCCATCCCTTGCCAACCAGGCCCCTTTTTCCGGCTTCCGCCCCCCTTAATTCCTCTTCTACTTGGCTCTTCGGCCCGTGCGATCCATGCCTCCCGTCATTCTTTCCTCAATCTTCCGTTTTGCCAAATTCACATGTATCTTTTTCCATGTTATTTTGCCCAGTTTTCCTTAGCCCTGCCAATTCCGCATGCATGTCACTCCCATTTTCAAAATCCGCATTACTTAGTTCATTCCATACGCATCTTTCTTCCGGCATCTCGCCAGGCCTTGCTCAAACTTATGCAAGGTCTATTACACATATATCACTTTTCTGGGCGTCCTGCCAGTCCTTTCTTTTAGCTTATGCTAACCGAGTTGCTCATGCCTTTCTCTTCTGAATGTCTTGCCAGACCTTCCCTCAAGCCGCGCAAGGTCAATTACTCATCCCTTTCTCTTCTTACCATCTTGCCATACTTTTTCTCAAGCCCATGCAAAGTCAAATACTCATCCATTTCTCTTCTGGACATCTTGCCAGGTCTTTTCTCAAACCTGCGCAAATCAATTGTACAAGCATTTTTTTCTTCTGGACATCTTGCCAGGTCTTTTCTCAAGCCTACGCAAAGTCAATTACTTATTCATTTCTTTCTTCTGGACATCTTGCCAAACCTTTTTCTCAAGCCTGCGCAAAGTCAATTACTCATCCATTCCTTTCTTCTCGACATCTTGCCAGGCATTTTTTCAAGCCTGCGCAAAGTCAATTACACAATCTTTTGGCTCATGGTAACCTTCTCTTTTGCTCGTTTTTTCATTGCTAGATGGCACACCTTCCCCCCACCCAAAATGCGATGTCCCCATCGCACGACTAGTTCTCACTCGAAGGTACGCAGACCTTGGCCCACCAACGAGTAGACGGATGTCGGTCCATCAGTCCGAAAAAGGAAGGGTGATCAGTTCTCTCCCTGCTGATAACTCACCTCATCCTCTACTCCGTCCAACCTTTTGTCGCTTACGAGACGGGCGTCATCACTGAGGTACCTCCTCACATCTGGCAGGTAGGTCCAGTCCAAACCTCCCAGGACCCTGTCTTGCTGTAAGGGCTTTCACGCGAATCGTTCCTCCCGAGTGGTGTTTTCTTGGATCCGGCCTCTTTTTTTCAAGAGAGTTGGGGCTCTCTATTAGTTTGCGAGTGCAGTTACGAAAACCTCGCGGTTAGTCCCGGAACGGTTGTAATGATCCGGCAGGGCAGTGTCACTCGCACTGTGGTGGTCGCGGCTTCCACCCGGTACCACGCCTGACTCCTCCCTCTGGACAGTGCTGCTCAACTTAATGCGAACAGCCGTGGTCCATTCCAAACGGTCGTGCCGCCCCTCTACGGCATGGTGTGTGGTTGGGGAGAAAAAAATGAGACTTAGAAAAAGAATGGCTCTCTCGCCCGTTTGGCTCCACGACCTTGACGTTTAGGTTCTCAACATGAGGCGCAGTTTGAACTCCCCGACTAGAGCTTGTTGTCGGAGTTAGTTCCGGACGGCCAACATCAATCAAAGAGAAAGGTGCTTTGGTCCTTCAACCCTTATTTTCCCTTATAAGGAATAGGTCGCGCTGAGACTTTTCCCTTGACGGGTAGAGGTCCTAGGGTTGTGATGCATGCATCACTTTCCTCCTTATGTCGAGACCTGAGATTAGAAGAAAGGGAAAACTCAATCTCTTGTTATTTCCATGGTCGGTCCGACCACCTTACATCAAGTTGCCTAGGGTCCCCTAGCTTATGCAATGCAATATCCAATTCTCAAACACTCAATCCAATGTTATTTCCAAGGCTCATTCTCATGGCTGGTCCGACAACCTCTCATCAACAAGGCCACCTCTTATGGCCGCTCTCGCGGTCGCTTTCTCAATAGTCATCTTCACAAGGACCGACCCGTCGGCCCGCCTTCAATCCATCATCTTTCACATTCCCCAATGACTGTCCCTCCGATCCATGCTTCTCTTTGTCTTAAGGCTCAGCCTTCTTTATCCTGCCCTTCTCATTCTCATTCGTCCATTCTCATGGCTATCTCAATGATCGATCCACCGACTTTTTTCATCCCTCATTGCTCATTCCAGCTCATTCTCAATTAGCCTTTCCCAATCACCCTTTCTCAATCAACTTTTCTCAATCAATTATGCAGGGGACCCCAGTGCCTATTTCGAAAGAAATGACCCTGGTTAGGGGCCATTTTCGAACAACCTGGTTAGGGTCGCTATTTTTCACTCTCAAATCTAACAGCCTGGTTAGGGCCATTCCTTTCCATTCTCAAGTCGAACAGCTTAATTAGGGTCATTCCTTTTCATTCTTAAGTCGAACAGCCTGGGTAGGGCCATTCCTTTCCATTCTCAAGTCGAACAGCCTAGTTAGGGTCATTCCTTTCCATTCTCAATGTTAGCACCCGAGGGGGTGGGCCTCGAGGACACGGATCCCATTTCTGTCTCGGAGGTTAGAAGGTGACCATCTCATCTCGGGTTTCTGCGTGCTGTTCCCCTCATCCATCCTCAAAACAATGTACTATGCATGCATACATCCGACTTAGCGTCTAGTACTCGAGTTGGGACTCGCGATCCCAAGCAGCATTAGCCCACCCGGCCGTTCAACCATAGCAAGAGACAGAGGCGTCCCCTCTTATTCTCACTCGTGCCAACGACTCAGATCTCGGTTATTCTCAGACTCATTCATGACTCAGTTGGATTAGGCTCCTACGGAAGGAGTGTTCTTCACGCCCCTTGACCCATAGGTTCCCTAACCTCTCTTGTATTCGACCAACATCCAATGTCATGGTTCGCTCGTCAATCTGTACTCAAGGTTTCTCTTCTCATAGCACAATCCTTAATCCATCCAAAATTCACAATACACCCTTCCCAACGAGTCTCATCCCCTGCCCCATGTCATTGTCTTGTGTACCCGCTTTCAAAGGTAGTTCATTCAGAAAGTAGCCTCAAAAGCTATCTTCTAACTTATAGTGCCACAGTCTTAGCTGACCCTCCTATCACTTCATCCTTAGCAAGCTTACTAATACTATACATGCTCTTGTCATTCTAATGTCTTGCAAAAAAAGAAAAAGCAGGAATCTTGTTCAATGGTTAATCGACCTCTAGTTCCTATTGCTGGCTTGTGCCTCAGCTTGCCCGATCCCTTATCCATCCTGTTCCTTGGCGGGCTTTCTAACCCCCAGGCCGTAGGTCTCAATTTCTCTCATTTTTCTTGCAATCTCCTGTAATTCCGTCTCACTGAAAAAGTCCAAAGGCATGGCTTCCATCCCTGCCTTAGCGAGTTCTCGAGCCTTGATGATCCACTCGTGCCTGATCACATTGGTCCATTGCTGAAACCAATGATTGGGCGCTGGCCCAAACTCATCCTCCCATCTAAAGGCCTCATCGCGTGGCTGGTGCATCGGGGGCCGCCTCTCTTCCCTAGGCCTGGAGATTTCATCCCTCTCATCCCCCCTGCTGATTTCTATGATCTCTTGCACATCCTCCTCCTCGTCCTCCTCGTCTTCCGTCTGTATGGGACTATACTCTCCCGCTAGATTCTTTGGATCGTAAGTAAAAGGAATCTATGTCCCTGTCCCATATCCTTCACAACTGTCGTGGCCGCTTCGTCCTTCAACCGGGCTTTCCCTTCTTTCCTCGCCCTCCTCATGCTCGTTGCGCACGCCCTGTCTCTCCTCGCTTTCCCCTTGCCAAGGCTCACGCTGTTCGCCCCTATTGGTTCCATTATCGTCAGAGGCCTGAGGCTTATCCCCCATATCTGCATTGCCCCCTTCTCCCACATTTTCCCTTTCCTTCTCGCTCTCACTGTCAGATGAGATTTCTATACCTTTTCCCTTGCGGAGGGGCGAGGGTCTTCTACATACGCACTTTTTTCCACCCCTGCCTACCACCGGCCCGCCCATGAGCCCTATGTACAACTTTCTCTTCGCTGTCCTCCTCCCTTGGCTTGGTCTCGCTTCTTCCCCTCCAGTAGGCATGTTGATTGCCCCGCTGTCGTTCTCGTTGCCGAATTCCATTTTTGTTTTTTCTCGTTTTTCTTCTAAGTCTTGTATAACAAAACAACACCCGCAATGCCCCTTGTACACCCGTTCCCCCAATCCGGTAGACAACTCCTCTTTCCCAGAATGCTCCCAGTATCCTTCGCATCATCCCCCTTTTATACATTTCCCTCCCTTATGCAAATGCGCCGTTTGTGAAGATCCCATTATTTTCCCGTCAAAAACTATGGTACACTGTCTCAACAATCCTTCCCGTCGTCGCATAAGCCACTTATCCCAAAATCCCAAGTCATGCTGTCTTTCAACCTAAGTCAGTCCAACCCATTGCCCCAACCAAAAAAAAGAAAATGATAGTCCCACGAGCGCAGTCAGAGATTGAACCATAGTGCGGGCATGGCCGTTGACAGTCCTTAACTTGTTGCCCCTAAGTTTCCTTATCTTCGGCCTCCTAAAGCCATTGTTCCACTGGGTCCCGACTTAGAAACCTGACCAATCGTTGCCCCGAGAAGGGCCCTTTCAATCCAGTTCCATCCAAATCTTCCAGTTCGAAGGTGTTCAGTCCCACCCGCTTGGCGACCCGGTAGGGGCCTTTGAACCTCCTCCCCAACTGCCCAGACCAAGTACTTTCTAGTGCCGAGTTTCTTAGCAATACTGTCTCCCCCACCTGAAGTGGTTCCTTTCTGATATTCTTAACTTGGTCCCACCTTGCTTTGTCCCTCATCCTGCTGTCTCGCACCCGGTTGGCGATGTCTTCCATGACCTCTTCGTTCTTAAGGACCTGCTGACATCTTGCCTCGATTAACTCTTCCGTAGTCATTCGCGGATCATCATCTAACTTGTTCCAGGTAGGTATCAAGACCTCAATGGGAAAGTCGATCTCCCTTCCATACCAACGTTCTGCTGGGATACATCCCGTTGTCCTCTTGGGTGCCATGTTCTCTGAAAAGACAGCCTGCTTGAGATACTTAGACCAGCTTCCCAGATGATCTGCTGCGAGTTTCGCAATCGTGTTCTTTAAGGTTCGGTGCCCTTTTTCCACAGGTGCATTGGCCTCTGGGTGATATGGCTCGATGAGTTTGATTGGTACGCAAAGTCTCTTAAGCATCCCCAATACTTCTTGGTTTACAAATTCTATCTCATTATCTGCTATAAACCTCCTGACGAAAGGATGCCTCAAGTAGAAGTCTTCTATCCAATCCGCTACACTTCTCCCTGTTTTTTTCTTGAGAGCGACCGCGTCCACGAACCCACTCAAGTTGTCTCGCGCATCTAGAATATACCTGTACCCATCTGTTGATACAGGCATGACCGCAAGGTCAAGGTGGACCAGATGTCCTGACTCTAGCACCCGCGTAGGCCTAAGTGGCTCAAAGACACGTGCCGAGCTTCGTTCTTGGCAGATAAGGCATGTCTGGCAGTATATAGCGACCATGCTTGCCATGCCTGACCAATAATAAAGTGGCGCTATTTTTGCAAGAGTTCCTTTGGACGACCGATGTCCTCCTGCTAATCCGTCGTGCATTGTTTGGATAACGTCCAACTGCCTAGATCTTCCGCACACAACTTTTCTAGGCATAGCACCTTCTTCCTTTCGGAACAGATGGTCGCCCCTTAGGACGTACCTTTCGGCCTCCTCCGTTGCTTTAACGCTGACTTCCGAGGGTTGCTTGTTTCCTACCAGCAACAACTCGATCTCTCGAAAGATCCCTTCGTATATCTGAGCGCAAAAAATCTTCTTCCCTTCCTGGTCCTCATTCTTTCTTTCCTGCATCTGGTTTACCACCCATTGCAACTCTTTCTTTTCCCAAGATTTCACTAAGCTCATCATGGCTTCCCGGCCTCCCTTAACCGCCATTGCTATTAGCTCCTCTTTCGGTCCTACTATTGTTCCCCATGAATCTCTCTCCTCTTTACGACCTCGAGTGGTGACGGGTCCTTCTCTGAGTTCCGCTACTACGGCAGACGCCCCCTTCTCCAAAGTCCGGATCAACAGGTCTCCCGATGCGCATTGTTCCCCCATCCTTTCGTTGTCCACCGCAAGAGTTCCTCCCTCGAATTCAAGGAACGTGTCTATGGGCTCCGCATCCTCCACCCCTTCGGGAGTGATGCAGACCCGACTCATCCCATCCGCCTTGTTTCTAATTCCAGCAATCCGTTTGATCTTGTAATCGAACTGCCAGATAAATCCTACCCATCTTCCCACCGTCGGATCTATAGGCCTGTAGTTCTTTAAGGCCCCTGCGACATTCGTCGGATCGATCCTTAAGATAAATCGTCTCCCAAGTAGGTAGGCCTGGGAGGTCTTGAGGCAAGGTAAGACGGCTAAGACCTCCTTTTTGAACTGCGAGTACCGCTGTTCTGCGGAGTTCAGGGTTCTACTTTCGAACCTAATTGGTCTCTCTCCCCCTTCCTCATCCTGTTGAATCAGCACACCTCCTACGGCCAAGGGTCCTCCATCCGTTTCTAGGATGAACGGTCGTCCCACTTCGTCATTAAAACAAGGTGCTAACAAGGCGACTTGCTCAGATGTCAATATGTCCTTAAGGGTTTGGACGGCTCCTTCTCGCTCCTCTGTCCAATCCATGGTTCCCTCTTCTCTGATCATGGCCCGAATAGGTTCGGCAACCTTCGCAAAATTCTTAATGAAGATCCTCCAAAATTCGACCACACCAAGGAACGCTCTTACCTCCGTTGTCGTGCGCAGGGGTGTTGGCCATTGCGATATCTTGTCCGTCTTCGCCGGATCCGGCTTCTTACCATACGCGCCACAGCGAAATCCCAGTATGGTTACTTCCGGTACTGCTAGAATACTCTTTGGTCCACTAGCCGTGATATTGTATACTAGGAATCGGCAGAGTAAGTCCTTAGTGTCTTGTAGATGGTCCCACACAAACCTTCGGATTTCCGGCTGGACTTCCGTCTCGTCCTTTTCCTGCGCGCCTTTGATCGGATTATCGTCGATGTAGGTTTCGCACTTCTCTGGAAACATATCTCCGGCTACGGCGAGCATCCTCCTTTGCGCTTCGGCTACCGCGTTCGTAAAGCCCATAGGGGTCACCTGCATCTGCAACTGGCCTACGGGGGTGTGCATTGCGGTGTACGACCTATCCCTGACATCCAATGGAAGTTGGTCGTACCCTGAGTACAGATCGATCAGGGAGTAAATGCTCCGACCGGCGTGCGACTCTGCTAATAAATCGGCCTGAGGCAGCGAGCCAGATTCCGGATGGTTACCGCATTTAACTTCTACACATCCTGAATCCATCTTAGTGTTTTGTTGGGCTTTCGAAAGACGAACCACTGGTTCGCGTATCGCGACGCCGTATGTTCCGCGACGAAGGAGTCTTGCTCGAAGAAGGTCTGTTACTTCCCCTGCTATCCCAAATTCATAGGACGATCCCTTGTCATTTCAGCACTCATGTTCTACCGTGTGGAATATGACCGGAGGAATCAGCTTCGCGTCCAGCCGCCCCTTTTGGTGATCACTAAAAGCAAATGTCAGGTGAAACTCTTGGAAGGTCCTTTTGATCAGGCGGTTCTCCTCTTCCGTTAGGAATCCACCTACCCCTATCTTCATTGTATCGGCTACCTCATCTGGTATCCGATGCCCTTCCGTCGCTCTTCTCTCTTGGATCACTCGAAGGACTTCCTCTTCCTTCTCCATAGCCTCTTCCTTCGATGTCTCTAGCAGGATCGAGACCGGTTTTGCTTTCTTCCCTACCGGCTTGTACTTTCGAACACTTCCTTCCGGGATCTTTCTCCTATAAAATGAACGGTCGGGATTGCCCTTGTTGCCTCTGCGATTCGTGGTTGAATACTAACTAATTTCCCATTCAGACAATATCCATTTTGCACCTCTCCTTCGAATTTGGCCAAGGCTGCTGAGTCCACTCCTACCTTGTGGTATCTGAGGGCCTTGATGAGTTGTAACAAATCAGGGATCTCGAGTGCGACTTCTGACACGTCCATGCGTACTTCTTTCCGTCTGGGCAGGCTGTCACCGAGTTCGACTTCTGATTCCTTTTCTGCTACCATAACGCCCAAAATTTTGTCCTCCTGCCTCCTCTTCTTCTGGGGCAGGCCCATCTTGATCCATTCCTTCTTGTTGAATGCCTCCTCAATCATAATTTGTACCCTTTCTCTCATGCCCTCCATCCGCGCGAAAGCCCCTTTCCGTGCGCTATCCTCGAACGATGGCGACCACGTTGCCAACTTCCCCTTCGGAGGGTTTCCTCCCTTCCTGAGGAGTCGGAGGAGCTCACCCCGACTGGTCGCTGGGTCCTCTATATCTACCATGTACGTGTCATCGTGCAAGTACATGCATATCATTTCTACGTTTGCGCACCATGGCCTCCCGAGGATAATGTTGTGATCCATTTCCTCCATTACGGTCATTCGCTGAAACGACCAGATTGACTCTCTGATTCCTGCCTTGACAGCACATTTCGTGACATACCCTACGAACGAAATTTCCCCACCGGCTCCCCGGATGCTCCCTGTTACTTCCTTATTTACTGTACAGTCTGTGATTGTTGCGAAATCTCTCCTTATGAGAGTGATTTATGCTCCCCCGTCTACTAATGCATCGATATGATGAGTTCCGATCTGAATCTTTAATTTTCCTACGGGTAGCGCATGAAAACTGAGCTTTGTCCCAGGAGGTGCCCTCATGACTTCGCCACCTTCTCGGTCTGGCAAGCTCAAACGGATGTCTGCAAAGACTTTCTCAAGATCCTCCAGATCCCCGCAACTTCTTTGAAGGTTAGCAACCTCTTGTGGAGCTTCCTCCTCCCTTCCTTCTTCTGGTAATTCGGGGTTTTTGTCAATCTCTACTCGCCGCCGAGTCAATAGTTGTCTAAGCCCTTTGAGCAACCTAGGGCTAGCCTGCAGCATGGTCTGAAACGACACCGACACCGTGGTTCCTAGTAACTTGCTAAGGGTGTCGTCGATTTCGGGCAAGGTTAAGATCGGGATTTGATACCGAAATTTTTTCTTGGCAGCGGTAACCTTGTCCGCAGGCTCCTGTTCCCTAGGCTTCCCATAGACTTTCTCTGGTTCTCCGGCCTCAGGCTCTGCCTGGGGTACGGAGCTTCCAGCAACCTCCTCCATCACGATGTCACGGATAATCCTTCTTTCGGTCGTCCCTAGCTGAGTAGTCGCATTCACCCTATCACGTCCGTCGTTTTTCAAGATGAAGTTGACCTGCGGCCCGCGGCCCCGAAGTTGATCCCAGATGATTTTCACCACGGGCTCAGCTTCTACCGCGGCTATCTATAACCCATTGAGCATGATAATAGCTCGTCGCATCCCTCCTGGCGAGTTCCAATTCACCCGTTCTCCCTGTGGTCCGAATATCTCTCCCTTAACAACCTGGTACATCTCCTTTTTAATATATCATGGTCGAGTTTTGGGCAGGCGCGCACATAATGTCCCATCGCGGTGTAGTACTTGCATTGCTCGTTAACAGGATTTCTTCGTCTGAATCCTCGATTGGCTACACCTGGCGGAACTACGGCTTCCTGGGGAGGGAGGGCGGGTCGAGATACTTGCGCCTGCATAACCAGTAGTGCGTTGTCCACCCTCTCAATTTTGTGATCGACTCCGTGCACCCGTTCGTGTAGGCTTTCAATCCCCTTCTTTACCTTGTCACCTGTCGTACTGGTCAGGTCTATGACCTCCCCTTCCTAAGCAAGGCCAACGTGTCGGTTACTACCGTCTTTTCGGCCAGGTCCGTTACGGTGCTAAAATTCACATCCCTAGTGTTTACAAACTTGCTCGTCTGCTGGTAGGCTGATAGAGTCTTGTCTTTGTCGAACTCGGAGAACTGCCTGAGAAAGTATTTGCTCATTATTTGGTCTGTAACCCCGGGGATCCTCAGCGCTACTAGGGTGAACTCCCGTAGGAAGTCGTTGTACGTTGCGATATTCTTCCTCTAAACTGCCGCTAAATCGGCCTCCGTAGCCATTTTCTCCGCTGCCAGATATTTTCTCATCATCACATCCTGGGTCTCCTTCCAAGATCGGCTTGCGGCCACAATGGGCATTATGTCCCGCCCTAGACTCAGTGACACATGCTGGCCTAGGTGGCCCATCTTTTCTTCTTCGGTCCATTTCAGTAACGCAGCTAGGTTCTCATAATCGATTAGAAACTCCGTGATATTTGCCCCGTCAAACGTCAACTTTTTCTTAGCGTCCGCTAGGTAGCCCTGATTTTTGTTCAGTGCTCGTGCGAGGGATGATACTATCTTCTTAAGGCCGCCCTCGGATCTACTGGCCTCACCTGCCATACTGATATCCGTTCCTTCCTTGCCGGCCTTCTGTCCCTCCCTTGTCTTTGCATTTCCTTCCGGTTTGAACCATCCTTACACCCTTTCCCTAAGGCTCCAGAGCCCTTCACACCCCCACGTTACTGCCGGCGTAGTTGGCAAATGGCTAGCCCTACTATCTATGGTTGGCGGGTTTGTAGCTTTCTCCGCTTCCATCCTCGGAGAGTTCTCTCTTTCTTTCCTTTTTTTGCTTGGCGTTCCCCCACGGTCGCTACCCTTATCCACTTGCCCATTTCCGCCTCGGCCGGTCCTCCTTTCGTCCCGCGGTTCTTCTTGCAGAGGGCCTTCTTCGTTCCCAGTTATCATTTCCTTTATCAATCTTGCCTTGTACTCTGCGGTCCTCTTTTCTATTTCTGCTAATTTGCGTCTCGCATCCGTGACCCTTACTTTCTTAGACACAACTTGCTCTGAATTCCGCGGGCTTGTCCTATCCTTATTCCTGCCCTCCTTGGTTTCCTGAGTTCCTTGCGTGCTTTCCCCGGCTTTCCCCGAGCTTTCCCCTGAGGAGATTTCCTTCCGGTTCCCTTTGGTACCATCCAGATTCGTCGATTCTCTATTTTTCTGCCCTTCTTTGCTCTGCACGGCACTGCCTCCTAAGCCTGGTCCTCCTTCGCTCTTACGGTTATCCGTCTCATCCTCCGTTGCCATTTTGCCTAGTTTTGCATAAGCCAAAGAATTCCCAGGATACATGCAACGCGAGGCTTTTAGGTTCCCTAGGTCCCCGACTTCGTTGGCTTATCTTTATTCGAGAAATAGCCTTCTCCCTATTTTCGTTTCCTGATTGCTTCCCAAAAAAGGGAGCCACGACTGGCCCTGCTGCCCTGTCGAGCTAAGGGCGTGACTTAGTTTCCTTTATCACAGGCTCGTTTAGAGCGCCCTTGCCCCGTGGGGCCGGTGCGTAGGAGTCCGGGTTAGGCATCCTGCTAGGGAAAGTTTCCAGTGCAGTAGTCCCCTTTTCGGCCTTCAGGGTCACGACAATCATTAGGAGTCTACCCCTTCCCTCCTTTATTGTCTAGCGGGTTCTGATCATCTGGGCCCGAGGCCCTTTCTTATTTCCATCGGCGATCTTTTATACGTAGCGGACTATACTCGATTTGCCCTATTGGCCCGCCTGCGGGTGCTAGTCCCATTCTCGTCCTCGCGGTCCTTCCGGTTCGGTAGGCTCTTCGAATAGTTGCGCCACCCCCGCTAGATAACTTTCCCCTATCTCGATTTCCCTTTGGATTATGCGTTCGCATCCCGCTCAGTCTAGCCGTGGCGCCCTAAACATCAGGATGTGGATGACTTCCAGGAACTAGTGGGCCCTGCTTCCCCAGAACGGCCCATGCTCCACAGCGACATCGTAGAACATCCCAATGGTCGGGGAGGGGAAGTGGTCTAGCAAGACTATCGCCGAGTCTGCCAGGTCCTGCGCCCTCGAGAGACTCCCGAAGACGAGGTCTATCATAAAACGGGGAACTCGGCACCTCAGCGGCGTGGTAGGTGCCCTGAATTCCCTCCAACCTCCCATTTCCACCCGGGTAAGTAAGTCCACGTTTCTTCTACGTCAGACTGATTGTCCTATCCGTGTCAACACCCGTGCTGCCCTCCGAAAGACAGGAGCCAGCTCGTGGCCTTGCGCTATTCCTATCCCCAGCAAGTGCCACCCAGCCTCGGGTAGGTACAGGACCCCGGTTACCTCTAAACTGGAGAATAGATCATCCCCTGGTCCCCGGTTGATTCTCATCCCCGTCCACCGACATTCTACCAACATGAAGGCGGTGTCTCTCCCCAAGGTTACGACCCGCCATTCTACGTCGAATCCCCGATAGTTGAAACTCGATGGGAGGGATACTTCCCATCCCCCGCCGTTATTCCAGGGCGGTCCGGGGTACCAGGGCTGACGTTCCATTCGCACACGGGGCTGGCATTCCATTCCCACACATCTTGTTGCCATTGTTGCCTTGGCGATTCCCTGCATAGTCCACATAGAGAGGGTTACAGTCAATCCTTAGTAAACATTCACCTACTTCCCCCTTACCCTTCATGTTTTCATTCTTCTTCCCTGATCCCAACTATACCTCCATATCCCCAGGAGCAGCAACCCCCTCCGGTTGTTCGTACAGCCGGTAAAGGTCATCTATGTAGGTCTCACCCCGACCTACTTCCCGCCGGATGACTCTCCACATAGCCTCATCACTTATTTGCAGAACTCCTGGCCTAGTATTTACTGTTGCTCGTAGTATACAAAACACCGCGTGCCCCTGTTCGTCTTCAAAAGGCCCTATCTCTAGGAAGACCCGGTAGTATTCCTGATGCATTAATGCTTCGTCAAAATCTAGCCTAGTTACGGCAGCTACCGCCTGCTCCACTCGCTCTATGCCCCCCAGTCGTCTTAGCAGAAAGGGTGGCAGACTCATTCGTACGACCTCATTTGGTAACTCAAAGGCCCTTGCTGTGGCGACTTTTACCTCAGTCGTCACGTCATCTCGTTCTAGATCCATGAACTCAAATCCCTCCCGCCAGGTTATTTGCCATGCTCCTTCAAACATTCGCACGGGGTCATCCTCGGAATCCAAAGCAATCCCAAAGGTCCGCCATCCTTCTTCCTACAGGTGTAAGGATCCCGTCGCATGCACGCGCCCCGGGAGGTCCAAATTTATGCCCTCGAACTCTCCTATCGCACGCCATTCCAGCTTTACTACTAGGTACACTGTGTCTTCCACCAGTTCTACCCCCACCCAGTCCATTACCGGGTTAATTACCACGTTTCTTGCTGGCAGACTTATTTCGACCCTGCCCCCCGATGCTTTTGGTGGTAGGATCCCGCGAGGCCTATCCTCCCAGAATGTCATTCGCTGGGCCATCTTGTAATGTCTCCTTTCCATCTTAGTCCGATTGCTGCACCCACCGAGATTCCATGCCTTTCGTGCTTTAGTCTTTCAGCACTCCTTACCTATCGTACACTGGTTCTTGCTGCCATCCCTGCCCCATACACGTACAAGTCTTCCTCCCCCTTTTGGTGTTGTTACCTTCCTTGTTTCGACCCCCTCGCATCCCCTGCTAACTAATATACACGCCCCCTTTTCTTATGCTATATCCCGATTCACCTGCACCCTCCATACTCCGACCTCCCTGCGGTGTCCGATTTTCGGGTCCCTCTAATCGAACCATAGTACCTCAAATGGTGTAAAAACATCGTCCACGTAGGACGGCGCGGCCGCCGCTTCCCGACTAACTATAGCGTCCCAAGCTTCCGCGTCTACCTCTAGGCGATCGTACTTACCTATCCTCAGGACGGTGATTACTTCACTAGCTTTATCGCCGTAGAAGGGCCCATATTTTAAGGAAACCCTATAGAATTCCTCGGTCAGCCAGACACATTCTATGTGTACCTCCCTCATGGAGTCGGCCACGTCTGCTATGTGCTCGAATCCCCCGAACCAGTCGGCCACGAACTCGGGCACCCACGCCGTTGTGCGCAGGCAAGGAGGCTTGAGTTCCCTCCATCCTCCCATCACAACCCTGCTACTAACTTCGTCCCACCCCTCGTTGGCGAACCTCTTGCCTTCTTTTCGAGTTCGCACCTCAGCATCCTCCAGAAGCCACATTGGATCCTGTCTCATTGCTAAGTAGTGCGAAATAGGTGTCACCCATCTTCAGAAAGGACAATCATTTCGACCGACTCCACTTTGCCCTCTGCTATCTCGTCCCAACCTTCCTCTTCCCTTATTGGGTTCCAAATCCGTTCTATCCATTCATATGATAATTCTCGGGCAACCTCAAACCCCACCCAGTCGCACGTGGTCCTTCTCCACTCGTTTTCCGTTGGTATAGGCATTTCTATCCCTCCCCTGAGTCGCCTTGGTTCCCATCCCTTGAAGGTGTATTTTATCATCATCTCCTCTCTAGTCATCTTTCCTCTTCCTGCACAACACCAGGCCACTCGTTCCCCCTAGGTCAAGTCACCCTCCTTAGAAGTCCCAGTCCTCTATCTCATCATCTTCGTCCTCATCACTGAAGTCGTCCTCTTCGTTGTAGAACAACTCCCTCACCCCTTCCAGAAATGTCTCCCCTATTGCTACATTTCTATAGACTATCTCCCAATGCATGGAGCTAGAGACAAAGACATTGTCTATGCTAAGGCAGTTTAGTATCTCGGCCAGCTCGTCCGCCCAGTTCCCCTCAAACGGCCCCATTTTCACTGACAACCGAAAGAAGTCTTGCCTAGCGCATTGGTATAGTCCGAGGTTCTTCATGGACTCGCATATCGGTACTAGCCGGCTCCGGGTTCCGAAAACCACCTCCACCAGGAAGGGAGGCAGCACACATCGCATGGTTCTGACGGGTCGCCTCATGCTCCCTCTATCCCCAAGTTCCTCCCGCACGTCTATCCTTTCCATTTCCATTTCCCTTCGCTTACACGCAGCCCACACAACCTCCGCTTCTGCCCTCCTAAACAGCTCGTCCGGCGTATTCCCGAGTGCCAATTTTATGACCATAGCATTCTCCCCATCCTGTGACAAGTAGACCCACCCCCGGGCTTCCACTGTCCCTCGGAATTCCAAATCCATTAAGCTTGGCAACAACCTTGTCAAGCTGACATTAGTCCATATTGTCTCTATCCAAAGAAACGTGTCCTCCCCTTCCAGCATTGCCGTTTGATACGCTGGTTCAAGGTCCGTCCACGCTCCATCTTCCGGGAGGACAACCAATACCCCATCCTTTACATCTACTAGCATTTTCGGGCCGCTGGTATAGATCAGGGAAGGCAACCATCACGCCATCTTGTTTCAGCACCCGACCCCTGTTTTCATAAAAGAGTATCAACCGGTCCTTCTGGTCAGGTCAACCCTTGTCCTAGACGAGAATTATTTCAGACCCCTCATCAAGGTCTCCCTAATTTACCTCCCCATTCCTAAGTACCTCCTTCCCATAATACCCTCGATCGGCTATCCATTTCTCACATTCTTTCTCTTGGTTCCATTCCGACTGACCTCTATCCTCATTCCTTCCGATCATCTCTCACTCGTGTGGACTTAGATAAGGGGGGGGGATAGACTTAGAATATGTCCTGTCCAACAATCCAAGCTCAATCAATCTGTACGGAGGGGGGGGAACACAAAAAAATCAGGCAATCTCACATACGGGTCGGTCATCTCCTCACCGGCCATCCCCAATGTGGTCTCTCCGCTGGTACTATCGGTAGAGTTTTATCCCATACCTCAAGCGCAGCTCTACCGTCGTGAGCGCGGTACCCAGGCTCCAGCAAGGCGTTAGCCCTTTCCTTGTACCCATAATTCCCCATCCCGTCTTGCCGCTTTTGCACATCCATACCGACACCGAGGCTTACCCCGTGTGCTTGAATACAGCGACAAAAGTCAGTCGTCCGGGCATTCACTTCCATCGGTCCGACAAGAGTCAGCCTTTCCCAAGCCATGCTACGAGAAGCTACTAATTGTCTCCGAGGCTCCGTCTTCGTCCGCATGCAGTGGTACTCCCCCCGCCAGTCAGGCTAAGCCCCGCCTAAGGAGACGTTTCACACCCCGCCCGGCAGATCATCGAGCCGAAGCTCATCACCACTCGAACGAGAATGCTACTAATCACCCGGCGTGACAAACTCCCGCCCGACAGCTCGGTGGCCTGACCTCCACACACGAACACACGACAGCCTACAAAAAGAGAGCGACGTTTCGCAACC